GAGTACGTACGAAGGAACTATAAGAGTAATAAAATATCTAATTATACTATATATATTTAGCTTATTTAGTTACCGTACGACGAAGCCTAACCGTTACGTTAAGGTATAAGCTATAGTTAGGTATAGAGAATATTCCTTATTTACTAGAATTATACTAGTATTAATATAAGTACTATACGAAGATAAGAGAATAAAAGAAATATCGTACGTACCTACCGCTAAGAGGCGAGCCTTTTTATAACTACCTCGCCGAAGCGAGAAGGAGGAGGGAGGAGGAGGAGAGCCTTACGGGTAGGGGGGAGAGCGCCGTCGTTATCGGACGAATCCGACGATAGTACTATAATACTACTATCGTCGTCTTTATCGCGCTCCGAATAACGAGTACCGCGGTCCGACTACTTATAGTTACCGTACGTACTACCGAAGTATCCTAGGATACGTCGATACTCTAGAAATAGGCGTATTAAGCGCTTATAACGATTATAAGGACCGAAAAGGATACTCCGGCTCTAAATAAGTAAGGCGTTAATATACGATAGCCGGTACGACCGGACCTATACTAGAGTAACTACTCCTCGTACGAAAGCTACGTTAGTTCCTAGTATAGCTAAGACCGCTCGTTAAGAGACATTATAGTAGTACGATACTAGCGATTACTCGGAGGTAAGGAAAATAGGGATTTAAGTTAGCGCGAGCTATTCTAACTAATACTAAGCCGTAGCGGTATTCTATACTACTAATACTATATTATCTTAACTTTTCCGTTCTCCTATTAGTACGTACGACTAAACGGAAAGGCCTAGGGCTTAGAGTATAGAGGGCGAATTAAAGAGGAAGAAATAGATTAGTTCGCTTACTTATTTACTATATCGACTACGAGCGTTTAAGAGTTAGTAACGACTAATAATCGTACGTAATAGGAGTAGAAATAAGTACTTATAAAAACTTCCTCGATAATTAGTATAAGAGAAGAAAAAGTAGAATAAAAGTAAGTAGAGATAAGAGTTTTACTTTATACGCTACTCGGCGTCCGGCTAGTTCCTATTAGGAGTAGCGGCTTCTTAGCGCCGTACGAAGAAAGGAGGAGAATAATATTACGAGTTAAACTCGTATAAAGCTCTAGAGTACG